TCAAAAACGGTAAGAATGATCAAAAACAACTTGCCTGTAGGGATTAGCTTTTTCCCAAGGAACATGATTAAAAAACGGAGCAAAAATATTGAAGGACGACTGAGAAAATTGAAAAAATGACAATTCTTGACCTTTGACCGAGATTAAACCTGATTAGACCTAGATCTGGACTTTGACCTGAACTGGACCTTGACTTGGACCTGGACCTGGACTTACACCTGGAAATGGACTGGACTGGTATTTTTTCAATCTTTTCCTCACTTCTCTTGACTTTCTATAAGGCTGTCATGAGATCGATTTTTCTCGAAATTTAAAAATCAGCAATTTCTCGGAAACCAGGCGAACTTGGGAAATGGCGATGATAGGTCAAAAAGACATTATAAATATGCGTAAAATGAATGTGGAAATGACTCAATCCGAATAGCAGTTTTAATTTGTGCAGCCAATGTTGACAGATTGACGGACCAACGGATGGACGGACCAACGGACGGACGGACCAACGGACGGATGCCTGGTCGATCCCATAGGCTCACTGTGTGAGCCAAAAACTATGGTTTTATCGCTAATACTGTTAATTTGAAAAACGGGTCCATAACATGTAATGATGACAATGAAAATGTTGAAATTAGGTACGCCAATGAAGTGAATTCAGAGCAAAAGACCCATCGACCCACTTGAATACCCACAAATCAAGTTGCATAGCCTTGCCCAAGTCGGTCTCTTTTAATTATCTTGATTTATATTTTGACCGCCTTGTACCCAAGAGAAAGCCACGTGCTTTACCGACCCAATGTTTTTGTCAGTAAAATTTGACAAATCAACGACGGCCCTACATTGCCGGACTAGGTCTTTGTGCATTTCCATCGCAAATTCAGTTTTGATTTTGAATCAACATTGAATTGCATGATTTCATTTAGACAAGTATTAATAACTGCTTACATTCCAATGTACATTTAATAACATAATAACATATTGTAACTCTCAAGAAACACTCGATCAGATCATTGAATTTCAAGTCCTAGACGGGTAGTTTGCTTTTTTATGCAGGTCAACCTGATAACGTTTTGATTGGTCAATCAGCCTGAAGTCACACGTTGTGTCCATGTCCATATTGTCAATCAATATGGTTTTGCGATACCCTTAGGTAGCCTAGGTATTATGGGAATCTCGGAACCGCTGAATAACTTAGCATAATATCAGCGATGATGCATTGGATTGAACAAGGCCAGTGGTAATAATTCAAGATCAGATAAGTAAATAAATACCGACTTGGCCAAGGCTACACGTTTCAGAGCCATTAACATTCCTTGAAAGTGACAAAGAGCAGCCAACAGATGGACCATCCGTAAATCTTGATGATTTTGTCAGCTCAGCTGAACGAGCCTCCAGATTCCTTGAAACAAATGACCATAATTCAAGAATAATATTATCTATTTACAATTTTTTGAAATTTTGGTAAGTGGAGTCTTTCCAATTACCAATATAGCATTATCATTCTTGTTGGACACTGTGGATTAAAATATTAAAAATACACACATTCAAAATGATTCAATTGAAACCTAGCCAGTCTGTTCAATGAATCCAATCAGAACGTCTACTAATCCACATGATACATCATAATTAGATTGCTTTTTTAAAGCGGATATTTCATACCATAACCCCAAAAAAATTAAAGAACGCATTGTATTTGTATTTTACTTCACACAGACATATTTGTGTATGTGAAATAATTATATTACTTGAAATTTTTTATTCCCCATTACAAGGTAAACCTATGGCAAATTATACATACACTCCCCTCCATAAGTTTGGCAACCTTTTTTCCCCATTGAACTATGTGTTAAAGCCTCTTTACGTTTGGATTTTTATTTACTTAACCGGCGATGAAATAACTTATAATATTGATGGAAACGTAACTTGACTTTATTTCCAATACCTCCAAATTTTCTAAATTTTTTTCCTCAAGTACAATAGGTCGAAAATTGACGATAAATTTGATG